GGGGGGGGGGGGGCAGGCAAGTCAGCTTCAGGTACAGACCACACGGAAAGCCAAATTTGCTGGTGTCACAGTTTTTGCAGGGGGTGGGGGAGAAGGGAGCCCCACTTCTTGCCCCTTCCCTGCCTGTGCTCCACGCCCACCTGGGAGAGGCCCCTCATGAGCTGCCCTCCTCCCACCCGCACCCGCCCAGCATCTCAGGAGCCCTGAGAGTCTGGGTGTGAGTAGCTGCCCGCGCAGGGGAGTCTGACAAGCTCAGTCCACTTCCTCTGGCTTTGTCTCCCTGCCAGCCCTGTCCCCAGGATCAAGTGGCGCAAAGTGGATGGCTCCTTGTCCCCACAGTGGGCCACCGCTGAGCCCACCCTGCAGATTCCCAGCATCAGCTTCGAGGATGAAGGCACCTATGAGTGCGAGGCAGAGAACTCCAAGGGCCGAGACAGTGTCCAGGGCCGCATCATCGTGCAGGGTACAAGAAGGACACCCCCTCCCACCTTCACCCTTGTCTCTGACTGAGGAAGTCCCCCCAAAAGCCAGGGAGGAGACTGGGAAGCCCCTTGCTAAGCCTTCTGGCTCCAGGATTGCACCGAGTGGCCAGCTCGGAACTTCAGCTGGTGTTGCAGAAAACACATGGAAGGCTCTAGAATGAGTTCAGTTGGTGAACAGCCCGTGGCACAGGGGCTGAATGGGCCAACTTTCTGGAGCCTGCTGCCCACCACACCTGGTCCCAGGGCCTGATGGCTCCCTCTGCTGCCTGGCACAGGAACTGCAGCCCTGTAACTCCAGCCTGCTTAATGAGTTGGAGGCCACTCCCTTCCTCAATCCCAACCTTTCTCTCTCTTGCACCCCACAGCCCAGCCCGAGTGGCTCAAGGTGATCTCGGACATGGAGGCTGACATCGGTTCCAGCCTGCGTTGGGGCTGCGCAGCCGCCGGCAAGCCCCGGCCCACAGTACGCTGGCTGCGGAATGGGGAGCCTCTGGCCTCCCAGGTAGCAGACCTGGGGCTTCCTCCCACACACCCACTGTCCTCTGCTCACCTGGTTCCCTCACCCCCCACCCCTACCCCCACCTCTGGGCCAACTAGAGTGCCACAGGGTGTTTCTAGATGCTTCTTTCCATCCCAGAGTCCCTTGGCCACAGGCTGGTCAACTGGATAGACTCTTGACTGGAGAGTCCAGAGACCTGGGTCCACGCACAAGTCAACCACGGAAGCACTGTGTGGTCCCGAGTGGGTCACTTCGCCCCTCTGGCTTCAGTGTGCTGATATGCAGGGAGGCCCGGGGAATCCTCGAGTCCTGAATCCCAGGTGGCTCTGAGATGGGACTGGGCATATGAGCCCCTCCTCCAGGGTGTGGCAGCCTAGAGTGTCCACTGCATGCACCCACCCTTGTAGGCCCCTCCACCCTGGTCCTCCCTTGGTCCTGGCGCCCCTGCCCCACCCTGAGCTGGCTCTTTTGCACAGACCCGGGTAGAGGTGCTGGCCGGGGACCTGCGGTTCTCCAAGCTGAGCCTGGAGGACTCGGGCATGTACCAGTGTGTGGCAGAGAACAAGCATGGCACCATCTATGCCAGCGCTGAGCTGGCCGTGCAAGGTAAAGGGCCTGCCCAGGGAGGCTGGGGACACCCCTGGGGCTCAGGTGTGGCTCTGGGAGTTCACTCGCATCATTTCTAAACACACAACACACCCTTAGTTTCCCAACAGATTCTGAGTAGAACTCAGGGATTTAATAAAGGAGGTGAGACATGAAATTGAGGGCTCCCTGAGGACAGGTCTCTGGCTTGATCTGTGTCTGGCACAGACAAATTAAATGTTGCAGTGGGGGGGAAAAGATGGCAAAATCCTTAGATTTGTGTTTAACCTGGCCCCTTCAGCTCTGTGTCTCAGTTTACTGATTTATAAAATGTGAGCAATAGTCCTGCCCTCATATAGCAGTTGTGAGGATTCAATGAGATGACAGAGGTAAAGCATAAAGGACCCGCCCAAAGCATAGCAGTGCCCAGTAAGTGTTGGCTGCTGCTCATAGTCTTATTGTGTGACTTGAGTTCATGGAACTTTAGTTTTCTCATCTGCAAAATGGACATAGTGATGCCTGCCTCATCAAGGTGTAGTGAGTCTTAACTAAGACTCATTCATTCAACCAATATTTATTCGATGCCTCCTCAGATAAGGTCTCTACCTTCAAGTATCTTACAATCCAATAGAGAAGGGGCGGGGGGCAAATAAACAAAAAATTGAATCATTAAATGAGATAATTTCAGATAGTCATTAAAAATACAGTATAAAAAAATCCAGTAGAGAGGTAGGAGTGAGGTGGGCCAGTGAGATGGGATGGTTTAGAAAAACCTCTCTAAGGCAGTGACTTTGAGGCTGTGTGAAGATCTGGGGGATTTCCAAGCAAAATGTGTGGCCAGAGCAAAGGTCCTGAGGCAGGAAAAAATATGGCATTTTCAAAAGACAAAAGTGGCCCAGGTGATTGGAGCACACTGAGCGAGGGAGAGAGTGGAGAGGAATGGGATTGGAGAGGAGGGGACATAGTTGTGAGCCCTTGTGAGAAGATGGGCTTCATTCTGAGTGCCCAATTCACATTTAAAAAAAGATATTCCTGGCCGCTGGGTGGAAAAGAATTGTAGAAAGACAGAAACAGGAAGGGCATTTTAATAGTCCAGCCAGAGACTTGGTGGCTTGGAGCAGCATGGTGGCAATGGGGTGATAGGAAGGGACTGATTCTGGTTGTATTTTAGAAATGGTGCAGAGTCACTCGTGGACTGACCACGAAGGGTACCTAAAGTGCTTAGCACATGGCCAAGAGACGTCTTAACCACAGGTACTGTTATGGTGCCCTGGATGACTGTGGGGTGCTCTCCTTTCCCTCCAGCACTGGCCCCCGACTTCAGGCTGAATCCCGTAAGGCGCCTGATCCCTGCAGCCCGCGGGGGCAAGGTCATTATCCCGTGCCAGCCCCGGGCAGCTCCCAAGGCAGTGGTGCTCTGGAGCAAAGGCACTGAGATTCTGGTCAACAGCAGCAGGTACAACCCGCACCCCACCCAAGCCATCCCTGCTCCCCTTCTTTCTCCTTGGAGGTGAGTTCCTTCCCAGGACTACAGTGAGTCCCTGGGGTGGCCAGATCTGCTCTGTCCTTGCTGCAGAGTGACTGTAACTCCGGATGGCACCTTGATCATAAGAAACATCAGTCGGTCGGATGAAGGCAAATACACCTGCTTTGCTGAGAATTTCATGGGCAAAGCCAACAGCACTGGCGTCTTGTCTGTGCGAGGTAAGGGTGTGGTTTGGCTGAGGGTGGTGGACTCAGCCATCCCTCCTCACCATCCTGCCCTCGTAGTCCCGTATTTCTCCTAGTTTGGTTTTGAGACTACTCTAGAATACATTTCACCCTCTCGCCATCCAGAATTTAATCCTGCCCCCCCCCCCCCCCCCC